TTGTATCCCCCCCCTTACTTTGGTTTGTGAGCCGCCCTGAGTCCCTCTGGGAATAGGGTGGCATAGAAATGCAATAAATCAAATCAAATCAATATCTAAGGAAGCTAACCATCTAACTGCTTCTAGTGTAGTCTCAAAGAGATTGTTAGATTGTAGAAATTTCTTAAAGATTCTCAAATTGTATGTACTATTATTTGTTCCAATGCAGCACAGTCACATTATGGGCTTTTGGCCATTTCCCATATAAAGAGTTTAGCTGTAGTTCTGGCATGGCATGTCCTGATTCCATTCTGATAGCTCCATATTTTGGGGGGCAGTTGCATTCTTAGGAGTTGTTTTGTTGGATCTATCATATTTTTCGGAGTATAAGACCCTTCAAAGTATAAGATGCACCTAGCTTTTGTGGAGAAAACAAGAAAAAAAATCTGATGAATTGCTAGACTCTCCTGTCCATCATCAGCTAATACAGTAGACAACGCCACCACCTGCCTACGAATAGTGTTGTGGGAAAAAACCCTGTCCAGGCCATCCTCGAGAAACTCCAGAATTTGTGGAATGGAGGATACCATGGGATCTATGTGAATAATCTGGCACCACCTAACAAATGTAGTCTGCGTGGTATTATAAATCCTAGTAGTGGACAGATATCTGGACGCTTCAATGCCCCTGTCACCCTGGAGGAGGTTAGCTTTCCTCAGGAGACCCCTCTCAAGTGCCAGGTGGTCAACTGGAGCCACTGTGGCTCTGGATGGACCAGGATCCCTTGGTGCTGGGAAATCGTCCAGAGATTGGCTACAGATAGACCCACTAAGTCTGCAAACCAAGTGCGGAGCCACCATTAGAACCTCTGTCCCTCTGACACTATCTTCCTAAACATCCTGGGTATTAGAGGAAGGGGGGTGCATAAAGTAATCCCTTGGCCACTGGCTATGGAGGGCGTTGCTCCCTTCTGCACTTAGAGTTGAGAACTGAGAGAAAAATCTGGGAAGCTGCGTGTTCGTTGGAGTTGCAAATAAGTCCACTTCTGGACAACTGAATCTCCTGCAAATTTCCCTGAACAGCTCGGGATGTAACTGTTGCTCTGTGTGGTCCACCATGGCCCTGCTGAGCCAATCTGCCTGATGATTCATTTCTCCCGAGATGTGCTCTGCCTTGATGGACAGAAGATGTTTTTCTGCCGAAAGACCTAGCCTTTCCACCACTGTCCAGAGGGCTTTGAAGTATGTCCCTCCCTGTTGATTGACATGTCCCTTTGTGACTACATTGTCCTTCAGAAGAAGGACATGCTGGTTCTCCAGTAATGGTTGAAAATGGTGGAGGGCCAGATGAGCTGCCCTAACCTCCAACCAATTGATGTTGTGTCTCAATTCTCCTAGGCACTGCTTGGAGTGTCCAAGCTCGGGTTAACTTCAGCTTGCTGCCCAAGGAACTGAGTTTGATTTTTTGTTGTAGCTCCACCT